ATTGTGCCCCAGGAAATCCTTCTGCCAGCATTGTGAACAAATTATGAATGGATTCTCTGCTGACCAACATTACACATCATGTGAACAAATTATGAATGGATTCTCTCTTGACCACACTACACGTCATTGTAATAGGAGCACAGACACATCAGCCCCAGTACAAAATGCACAGGTATAGCACTATTGTACCACTTGGGACCTCAACCTTAGATATCTGAGCACAGGTGAGAAGTTCTTATCCCTTCTTAGTAATTTGCAGTCACTCCTAGAAAAAGCTCTAATGACTTGGAAGTGATTTAAAGATACTCCATCTAAGAAAATTCTTCAGCTTAGAGCTACAATTGACACTTTGAGTAGGGGGCTATGAAGGGATCAACATATACAGAGCAATCAGCTGCTCAGGAGACCTCATCCCTCCCTTCCTGTGGATTCTCAAATCCCCTTTTTTAACAGCAGGAGCCAGCAGCTTACGGAGGCCTCGGAAAACATCTCCCTCAGCATCAGCCAGGGTCTTCCCTTGCTCAAAGGTGATGAGTTTGGAAATTTCTTTCTGAAAATGGAAAACACAAATTTATGAATGTTAGAAAAGTGCCCACCCATGAAATAGGTGGGCAAGGATAAGACAGAATTAACAGAGAGTTGAACATCACAATGACCAGACTGAACAGAATCCAGAAAAACCCATGCTGACTGATTTGCTCCTTATAAACAAGAAGCCAGTAACCCACATAGGTGACATTTTAGAAAAAATCATTCTAGGATAGCTTGTATTCTAATGCTTTCAGGTATGGCACCACATACACACCAGAAAATCCATCAGGGAAACCCAAAAACATAGTAACATACTTGTCTTCATCAACTGACACGTCCCATCAGGGCTCAAAGTTCCTTCTGTGGTCTCTGGGTAAAGGGACAAATTCAGAGTAATACTCCCTAAGAAGCGCAGCCTCTCTGTTACCACTGGATGGGAAGTGTTTTGCTGCACCTCTCGACAGTGTCTCAGCTGGTGCCTCGATCACGGCAACACCTCATCAAGAACTCTGTAAACCCCGAGTCTCTCAATTTAGTTCCTATAATCAGCTTGCAATGCATTCAGCCATAGCCATCACACACAGCCATGGTGTCTCACCAGATTGTCTTTGATGAGTTGCTGATAGCGCAGAAAGATTTGCTGGCGACTCAAAACGGATGTTTCTGACCAGTTCCAAAAAGCCTTTTTGCAAGAAGCCACAGCTGCCTCCATCTCACTGGCTGTGGCTTTTGGTACACGGCTAACCACCTCATTTGTGGCCTGGAACAGAAAACAAATTGCATCAAAACTCAGCTTTTCCCATCTGTCCCCACCAACCATTCAAGAGTCCTTTCACAGCACACACCTAATATTCTTGTTCTACAAGGAGTTATACTTCTGAGGGCAGAGCACAAAGAAAATGCCTTCCTTGATTGCACACAAAAGGCCTGGGCTACAACTGAAGTAGTTCTGAAAACCTGCACTCCAAATATATCAAGTTAGGCACTCAGAAAACTACAAATGCAGTGCTAATTTCCAAGATGGAGCTGACGTGACTTGTCTATCTTGAAACTTCTAGACAGTATCAGGCAAAAGTTTCTGTGGGCTTTGGTCTTTTCCCTCTCCATCATCTTGGTTCATCTGGCTGTCCCTCTTGCACATTAAATGAGGCAAAATTCCTTTGTGAAAAGCAGTACATGACTGTGCATTTGCCATTGATGTTAGTTTATCTCTACCCCTAAGCCAAAGTACTATATTTACATACAACCTTAATTCTACAGTATTTTAACTTCAAGCTTGTTGCCAGTTTAACCTCCTTCTAATGTTCTCTTAAAAATTAAATCTGCTTTGACATGACAAAAATTTCAGATATATCCCTAAGAGAGAAACTACTCAAAACGAGAGGAAGAAAATGAAGCAAGAACACTGCTTGCTACATAAAGACCAAATGAACTTCATGAACATGACTTGCTGCTCTGATCATTTCCACAAAGCAAATAAAAATAGAGCTTTACAGAGAAGATTCAGAAACTGCTGTTTAAATGCTTACAAGGGAGTCCAGGAGGATCAGACTTCTGAATGCAACCTCATTTCCATTTGTCTTTGGTGGAGTACATAGACAATACAAGTGCTACTTATCTGTTTTGCAGTGCACAGCATCCAGCTCTGTGATTACTGTGGATAAGAGATAGAAGCTCTCTGAAAGGAGAGGAGCTTCAGCTGTCAGGATTTTTCACCTTTTTACTCTGAGAGTAATATCAGCCTCTATCAGGACTTCACATTCAGCTGGCATCAAATTACACTCAATTGATTTCATATACAGGGTGAAAGACACCCTTCAGAAATTTGACATACTCATCACAGAGCCTTTCTATGAAAAAAAAATATATAACCAGAGCTTAAGCTTCCTTTCTGGAGGTCAGGGGCTTACTATGTGAGGGAGATAAAGGTGATAGTAACTTATTCTGAGACTGACATTTCATGTGGAAAGGAAACTGAGAAGCCGTAGTCTGCCTGAAGCTCCAAGTCTAAACCTTTCTCAAGAAATGTATGTTTTTCTTCTGCCACATCCCTGAAGAGAGGCACAGACCTTTGTTTCACAGTGATCACTATTCATATAAGCTGAGACAATTTCACTTACCGGGTTGTGGATATCAATCCATTCAGTAGTTTTGGACTCAATAAACTTCCCATCAATGAAGAGCTTGGTTGTTGGCTGTGGAGGGCAAAACACTGGACAGTGAGTTATTCTTATCTCACACTAAATACCAGTGTGCCATATTACATGCAAGCCTTCATCATTAACTGCTATGTGAACCACTGGAGTCTGGATCCAGTCTTCCCAGCAAGACCCAGATAATGCTCTGCCCATTTTGCTCTCACTTCACACCAAAATGGCCAAAATTCTTTCTAAAAGCAGTCATAGAAAAAAAATACATTGCTCTGCTTATGTTCAGAATTGTTTCAATCTATTTAATGAAAACCTGAAAAAGTGCAACTCATAAATGTTCAGAAGAAAGAGTTAATAATTCACTTCATGGGAATTCAGTGAGGCCAGTGCAGACTGTACCACTGTCCCATGTGCCTCCTTCCCATCCAGCCACTAAGCAGTTCATCTGTCCAGTTTATAGCTTCAAGCAGAAAATTGGACTTTCCCCACCCCCTGCTTGGTCTTGCAACTAAGAGCAAGAAACCTGTGTCTGTGGACTGTCCTGGCTGGCAGCACGGAAAACAGAACTCTCCCACTCAGATGAAGAGGAGGGACAAGGAAAGTTTGGAATAAGAAGTTCAGACAAACATTGAAGAGAATAGAAAGCAGAGGTAAAAGCTGTAATTAGCATTTGGTAGGCAAAAAAACTGTACCATGCAGGAAAACAAATTGTGACTATATAAATTAAGAAACTAGAAAAAAGGAGTTGACATTGGGACATAAGGAGAGAACTAGGAGAAAGAAAGAAAGAACCAATTAATCATGCTTCCATACCCATGACTTGGGGAGAACAGGTAAGAGAAAGGGGAAATGGATCCTCTGTATGAATAACAGAAATGGGACAGATCAACAGAACTGAGATATAAACAGAAATACATCAGAAAACTGAAGAAATAATGATGTGGAATTATGAAAGGGAGATGAGGACTTGGATGCTATCCAAAGTGTAATGAAGAGAAAGAGATCGGAGGAAGAATCAGGAATATAAATGGTATTGGGTGGACAAGTAATGACAGTGAAAAGGGGATGAAAATGAAAAAAAAAACAGCTATGTTAGTTGGAACAAATTGAGAAAGCTTTGAGATGAGAAAGCTAGGATCAGAAGTATAAAATAAGTCTCTTAATGGACAAGCAAAACCTAATGATTTGGAAAGCACCACTAGAAGAGAATTAAAATGAAAAAAATGCAGATGATTATGTAGCTGGAATCGCACTTGGAGAAGAGAGGCAGAAATCTGTGCCTACGAAAACACAACCTCCTCTAGAACCTGGAAGGAAGCACAGGAAATCCGAGTCCCTTGACCGAGTTTCCTGACTGTCAGAAAAGCTGCTGGTCTAAAGAATGACAAACTCCTACGGCTGTCAGTCACTCCATTAGCCTCAGTGATCCGAGTGCAATGGAGCTGCAACCCCCAGTGCTTTGTGACCCACACAGGCTTCAGTGCAATGGAGTGAGTGGTTTTTTCAAATTGCTTAAAAAGGGTATCTCAAACATTGCACACGCAACAAAAAATACTTTAAGCAAGCCAGAAAACGGTGAATTACAATTAATTGCACTTTTCCCATAAGATCGCCGCCTTTTTTTAATGTAGAGAATGCACCTGCTGTGGAACCATGGACGGTAGTAAAGCAGACTGCTTGTGGAATCCTGGTTTGGAGCTCGGAGAGTGGGCAGCCATGGACAGCGGAGCAAAAAAGGCAGGACAACAGCTAAAGCAGTTTGATAGTTTGATAGATAGAAGGAAACCAGATCCTCTCTCTGTCGCAGACAGATGCATGAGGCGAGTCCAGAGCCGCCGGGAGGAACGCGAGGTGACGGGCGGCCCCCGCTCGGCTCCGAACTCTCACAGATCGGACACGGAACATTTTCCCGTCCGTCCCGTGGAGCACGGCGGCAGTGCCGATGTTTGTTCCACCGGACCCAGCGGGGCTGCAGCCGAGCAGCGCAGACCTGGGGGCAGGGTCCGGCGGGCGGCGGCGCCCGGGGCTCCCCCGCGCCTCCCTCCCCCGCCCACCGGCTCCGCTCCGCGGGACGGGCACTCACCACCGAGGAAGAGAAGGACGCGGCGACTGAGGTGATCCAGGGGGCACCGGCTGTCCGCGGCAGCTGGACGGGGGGAAGCACAGAGCACCTCAGGGCGGGTCAGGCACCACCTCCCCCCGACTCCCTTCGGCTGCTCCCCGCCCGGGACCGACCCCCCGGGGCCAGGTGAGCCGCGACCCCCCTGCGCCCCCCGCGCCGCCGCGGGCCGGGGCCGGGTCCGGGTCCGGGTCCGGCCGCCTCAGGCGCGAGGGCGGTCACGTGAGGCGCGCGCCATGGCGGCTCCGGCGGACGGTGAGGCGGGAGGGCCGGGCGGCACCGCCGCGCCGCGCCGCGCCCGACCGCCCCTCACCCCCTCTCTGTTGCAGGCGCCGACCTGGAGGCCTCGCTGCTGAGCTTCGAGAAGCTGGACCGCGCCTCCCCGGACCTGTGGCCCGAGCAGCGTAAGTCCGGCGGGGCGGCGGCCCCGGGTCTGACAGCTGCGGGTGGGGTGGGCACAGCCCGAGCGGGGCCCGCCGCCGTGACGGTGCTGCCCGCACAGGTGCTCAGCCCTCCCCAACCTCCTCTTTCTCTCCCCAGTGCCCGGCGTTGCCGAGTTCGCCGCCTCCTTCAAAAGCGTGAGTGAGCGCTGCTTTGCCTGTCGCGTTTCCTCCTTCCCTGTCATGGTAGATCTGCAGGTTCTCCTGCGGGCTTTACACCTTCTATGAACCGTACCTCAGTGATAAGTCCAGTATATGCTACAATGTACCTTTTGGTTTTCATGTATCTTTTATATATGTGTTTCTTTTTTATACCCTATGTGTATACACTGTGTATGGGAATTATACTTTGGAAGCAATAAAGGGTTTTAAACTTCAGAAAATCCTATTTTCCATACTGATTTTTGGCTTGTGGATGGCGGTATGATGTTTTAAACTCTAAAATGTCCAGGAAAAAACAAGATTAATCATAAAACTATTTCTGTGGAGCACACTCTCATATTTTTGCTGTTGGTATAACTAGTTTTCAATACAGATTGTACTTCATTGTATAATTCTAAAAATTGACTGTTCTGAATATGAACTCCTGTGTTTTTCAAAACAGCCCATTACAAGTTCTCCTCCCAAGTGGATGGCTGAATTAGAAAATGATGATATTGATATGTTGAAGGGTGAGTATGAATATTGTGGGCAGGAATTGATGTTGCCAAAGCAGATGGGAATTCAGTACTTACTTAAGAGGCTTAAAACACTTGTTCTTCAAATGTCCTGGTGGTGGCCCTATGGCCTGAGATCTCTAGCCATCATATTTGCAGAATCTCCAGCACAGAAGTCTCTTCATCTTGTTAATGACAGACATTTCCACTAAACCAGTTATTTCCAAGAGCCTATCCAGATGTCAGTGGCAGGCTGATTTTTCAAACAAGCAGTGTAACATTGTGCATATTTCAGACACCTCCCTTAGCCTTTTTTATCACTGTATCAATATAATGAGCATCTCCTGCATGTTGAGGAGTTGCATGCATTTTTTGGCAGGGCTTGGCTGATCAGTTGGTGAGTAGCTTAGACTTGTTGATTGACTTGTTCAGAGGTGCTCTACGTGTGCGTGTTCCCTCACAGATCCAGGAGCTCCAGTGCAGTGGTGAGGCTGCATGGGCAAGTCACAGCAGGATTAGCCAGCATGTACACTTGCTGCATGTTGCAGCTGTTAGTTTGCAGTAAACATCCTTCAGCGTGCTCTGCCTGTTGTGAATTCTGGATGGTGACGTGTGATCCTGTCACAGTGACGTGTCATGGCTGCAGAGTGAAAGTGAGGTGATTTAACTCTGACTTGCTCCAAGAAGTGTTCTTGAACTCACGTTATTAATGCAAAATAACAAAATAAATCCATTCCCTTGCATACTGTTATATGGCTTGTTCATGTTGCAATGTGAACTTACAGGAACTTCCAAAGTATGGGTCAAGTTACTCTTTGCAATGGTGGCAGATGAAAGCATGAACTAAAGTCATGGCTGTCTTTTTCCTTATGTTAAAATTAGCAGTGGAGTCAGCTTAAATTTTGAGTATACACTGTTCACTGAAATAGATCCTGACAGAAGTATGGCTTGAAAGTGTTCTGTGAACTGCTACTGGAGGACTATAGACAGTGTTAAAATTCACCTTTTTCTCTCTTCTTAAGAGCTGGGGAGCCTTACTACAGCTAATCTGATGGAAAAAGTTCGTGGTCTGCAGAACCTGGCTTATCAACTGGGACTGGATGAATGTAAGTGCTGTACACAGATATGACCAACTGCATTCCAGATCTTTCCACTAAAGCATGTGCTTGTACATTGGTAGCTGGAAAAGTGTGTTGGCAGATTTGGCAAGTGTTTGACAGTGACCTCCTGCAGCAGGATGAGAGAATGTGTTTACATCTCCAACTTACAACCTACCTGCACAGGGGAAAACATGTATGTCAGTCTGGTGTTACCTAGTGGCACAGAGACTTCTGTTCCTCAGTTAACATTGTCTTACATAACTCAGGTCACTTTGCTTAATTTCCTACTCAGATACTAAAGGTATTTCTCAGAATACTTGTGGCAGTACTTCTCTCAAATTCCATGCACTGCCTCCACAGGGAAATTTGCTCTTGTGTATAGGATTCTCGCGTCACTTTGCTGTTCATGCTGTTTTCTGCTTCAGTAGCTCTTACTTTTTTTCTACACTCAGTTGTAGCAGGCAGTGATGTCCTTGAGGAATAAAGATGACTTTCATCCCAGTTGCAAACAGCCAACTCTTACTGTGATATTTTTGAAGGAAGAGCTCCTTTCATTGTCTCATTTAGGATTCTTGTTAACAGGTTGATACAGTCTTGAGAATTTCAAGAGTATTGTGGAGTTGTTTTTAATGCTACCCATACATACCAACACATTTTCTTTTTCCGTTTAGTTATGCTCTAACATAGACCCTGATTTTAATTACTCTTGGGCTGCACAAAGCACCAGAAGTTTCAAGTCTTTCACTTTCCTTTCAGTGGGTAACACAACTTAGTAATAAACCTTTAGAGTCTTTCTGACTGCGAACGTAGGATAGCCTGATGCATTCTTAATAACAAATGATTAAGCTTGCTTTAACACACTTCAAGTTTATTTTACTTTCAGTGCTAACATTTGTTAAGACTGTGTAAAGAGTTTGGTGGAGTAGAAGTTAAAGTATAACGGTGTAAAACTGAGTCAAATGCAAAGACTGGCTGATGATTGGCTTTCTCAGTTAAGCTGTAGGTTCTGATGTCAGATGGTGTTGTTCTCCTAAATGGACTTTAGCAGAACTTGAGTTGCAGTAAAGCTAGGGAGGTGTTTGTTTCCTTATTGCATGTGTAATATTTGTTGCATGTGGTTCCATTTATTTTTACTGAGAACAAGTGCATATGTAAAGAAGACAAAGTGAGTAAAAACTGAAACATGGGGCTCAACAGTTATAACTTAAGTCTTGAATTTTCAACTTCTATGAAAGGTTTCCTTGCTTGTAACTTGTCAACTTGTCACTTAAGGGAGTTTTCCTTTACTGTAATCCATTGAATATTTTGTGTGTTGTAATAGTCATTTATCTTTTATACCAAAAATTAGTTGTGGAATTTGAACAGAAGCTGCTCGGGACTGTTTTTCCTAGCACTGTCTTTAGGTTATTTTCTCTTACAGACTTAGATAAGTGAGAGAACAAGAAAAAATCCAAAATATCTGTTCATTAAAGTTAAGGGATTTAACTTTAATGGTTTAGTGGTTTGGTCTCAGACGTATGTAATTTAGTTCTATGTCTGTACTGAAATTTACTAGTCCCCTCTTGATTTGGCTGATTCATTGAAACTGGCTGTCACAAGCAGCCCAAAACCCGCTGCTGATCAGTCTCCTCTAGATGGCAGCATGAGGCCTCCCGCAGAAGTTTTGCTTCTTTTTTATAGAACTCTGACATTTCAGTTATGGTTGAGAGCTGCTATTCCCAAGATTGGTTTTTGTGACATATTTTCTTTTCAGAATGTGCACTGTCTTTTTTTATGGTATTTTCAAGTGTTTCATCAGCAGTGAGGTTGAAAGACAATTCTGCTTCATTGTCTTAGCAATTTACTTTTCCTTCTAACACTTCTCTTCTAGATCCCACCTCAGATCCTTCATATTTTCAAAGACTTTTATTTTTGTGCCAGTTATTAATTATGTACTGTGCAGGACCTGCAGCACTCCATGAAAAATGTATCTCTTGAGTGGCATTGCAATCATGTTGTGAGATCTCTTACTGTTATACCCAGCTCACAACATACTTTACAGCCATTTTGAATTAGATTTCATTAGGCAAAGTGCTGTGGGACTGGGTACCTTTTGAAAAGTTTTATTGAGGTACTATTGCAACATTAGCATTGAAATCTGAATAGTTGATTTGGCATTATGTAGCCTGATAAATTAATAATTCCTGAGTTACATGCCTTGTTTCTTGAATTCATGTGAACCCCTACTATTTTGCCTGTGTAAGTGGACTTTCTAGACAAGTTTGGAACAGGTGTATTGAATGTTTTGTCCATCTTGATGGGGCATCTGGATGGTTTTCTTCTAGGAACAGTTGAGTGCTGTAATTTGAATCCCACATTTTTATTATCTACAATCCCAGCTGTCCCAACTTTTAGGGTATGGATTTCTCAGTTCCTCTTTGGTTCCATGCTTTCCACAGGTTTCCTTTCTCTACAAGTAACTTCTTTTTCCCATAGGGGATTACCTTTACTTTCTGTAACTCTGTCTAGTTTGTTGACTGCCCCATGGCTTCTGTGAATCAATTTAATTTATCAATATATAATTTAGTTTTTCTTTCCAGCTTGTTCTACCACTTTCTTCCTGGCATACTGGTAGGTGGGTTCTTGCTCAAAATACTCCTTGCAGAATATTCTTCCCTTCCTTAGCACAGGATTCATGTCAAAGTATAGCTTTCCTTGAATGAAGCAGGATTTTTGTAGCATGAACCATTTTAAAGAAATTTTTTACTTTCCTCTTTAAGGATAGGCTGGGGTCCCTTTTGTGTATTTATTCTTTGATAAAAGGTGATTCTGGAGTTCTCTAGAAGCTTCCAGGCTCAGGTCCTTGTATCAAGAAAACCTTTTAAAAATAAATTATTTCTTAGCACTTTTGAGGTTTCAGCTTGTGTTTCCTTGTCTGCTTTTTAAGCTCTGTAAAATTCTACCTCATCGTTTTGCTTGTAGCTGTCTTTCTCTTTTTGCTTTGGTTCTCAGAATCACAGAAACGTTTAGGCTGGAAAAGACCTCCAAGATCATGAAGTCCAACCTTCTCACATTAGAGCTTCTACTTTCCTTTGGTTAATTAATTACTTTATTGGTTAAAATAACCAAAACCATTTTTAGTATTTAAAGTCTTGCTTTGTGTCAGTTTTACTGTTCCCCTTAATGTGTGTGTTTTAAGGGAGAATTGGGCTCAGTGAATACGCTGTCTTTTAGTTGTTCATACAGTTAGGGTGACTTTGGGAGACATAGTAGCTCTTCTGAATGCCAGAAGTGGCTGCAGCCACTTAGTGAGTCTCATTTCTGAGTTTGGGGAAGAAAAAAGATATAAAAGTCTTGTTAAGAACTTTTTTCCTCCCCTCTGTGTCCCTTAATTTTTCCACTTGCATGCTTTGCTTGGAGTGGAGTAGTGAGCACTGCAGAATGAGCAGACCCCAGCTAATGTGGCAAGCAAGAGGGAAATAGACCCTGACTCAATGTTAGTGGCCCACAAAGTAGCAAGTTTCAAAACACTTAATGTAAATGACTGCACATTTAGGTTGGAAGCTGTTTTTCCACTGTATGACCCATTGCACCTTTTGGAGTATCTGAGTCAAAGTTGACTTTAGAAGAATTTTGAAGTCTTGGTTTTATGAACTGGCAACTCTGAGATGTCCATGCATTTAAAGATGTGTCCTGTTATCCTTTGGGGTATATGTATACAGAGAGATGTATCTGAGAACTACATACACAGAGGAAAATGCTTTTCTTATAAAAAAACCCTTAAATTTGTTTTTTTTCTAAACTTCAGAAAAAACTTACTTATGAAAGTAAAGGATATGTAGGATGGGAGAATGGGAAAGGCACTCTGTCACTGAAGGAATGTGGTTGTCCAGGGACTTTTTGAAGGCCCTGCTATTGTTTCATGTGATTCTCTGATATTTTTCAGATAACACCTGCTGTGCTGGTTCAGAAGTCCTGAAATGTAGATCTGGGTAGCTAGTATCACAGCCATGTTTATAAAATCTCACTGCTGCCAGAATGGTTATTTAGCCACTGTGATATCACAGTGCAGTTCCAGTGATACTGTCAGTGCAAGACTTCTGCAAAGCCTGTTCTTCTTAAGCCCCAATATCTTTGTAAGGGTAATGGTGCCTAGGTGCTGTGTGTGCCTTAAATATTAGAAAATGTGGGATAACTGACCAAACACATATGAATATAATTTATAATTTCCTTGTCAGTGATTTTTGCTAGTCTAATCTGTTATGTTAGGTTAAATTTTTATTTGGAGTTGAAGGTAGTTTGTGATGCTCTTGCTGTAAAATTAGGAATGACTGTATTATCCAATGTCAAATCCTCATACTCTTTCAAGAGTCATGAGACAGTTCCTAAATATGCTCAACCAAGACTCTTTATTTATAGTTTCCCATGCACCCTGGCTTTCACTAGGTTCTAGCAACTTTGCTCCTATTTTCTTTGTAACACTTATTTATTTTCCATATATGTTCAAGCAAATAAAAAAGAAGGGTACATTTGAAGAGCTGTTTAATCAAGGGCCCACACATTAGGCCTGGATGACCTGTGAGATTGCAGGTGAACAGCAAAAGGTTGGTCATCTTATAGCACCAGACTGACAGAGGAAAAGCCAGTCCAGCTTACTCAGTCAGTGATAGTTTTCTTTACTATGGAGAATAAGTAATTTTTTACTTATTCTCCATATTAAAGGGTTTTTTTGGCCTGGAGATCAACAGCTGATGTAATATGTCAAAAAGATCCATAAAATATTAATGCAGAGAAAGTGTGAATAGGGAATGACTCCTCACAGTTTCTCATAGTATGGGAGCCAGAGAGAATACAAGAGTGTGTTGGGACAGACATAAGGTACTTGTGTTGTGCCCTGGAGTTGGAACACATCACCAGTGGAGCTTGTGGTTGTGGAGTTTCTCACTCAGTAATGAGAAAAATGATTGGAAGATAAATCCTTCCAGGGTGTCTGACTGCTGAGGGGTCCCCAGTGCCTTGGACATCTT